GCCCACCCAGTCACATGGCTGGCAAGTCACTCCCACCCTGTCACATGGCTGGTGAGCCACTCTCACAAAGCAGGCCACACCTACAGAAGAGGTTCTAAAAAATTTTGAAACCCACCACTGTTCCAATCATACTGGAAGTGTTTGAAGTACACCAAAGGTGTTGTACGCTCAAAACAGTCTTGTTTCAAATTCTACTCAAACTCTTCCACAAAAGTCTAACAACATTTTCAGGGAGGTAGAAACAACCGTTGTTGAACTTGAAGCTCAGAACATTTCAGAGTTGAAAGGTTTTACATAGTTCTAAGGGAAAAATTGAACAAAACAGTCCTCCCAGTTAAAAATTCATATTTTTTATAATCAGCATTCCAGAATCAGGAACAAATCACAATGGACTCTCTTGAGACTCTGTTTGAGTTAGACTAGACCAGGGGTCCTCAAACTTTTTAAACAGGGGACCAATTCACAGTGTCTCAGATTGTTGGGGGGCCGGACCAAGTGAGTGGGCATGGCTAGGTGGTCACGTGCCTGAGTGGGCGTGGCTATGTCTTGTGACTAGGTAGGCATGCCCAATTTAACAGTCCATTAAACAATGCACACAAATTAACCTTTAATTTGTTTTGATCCTGGGTGGGGGTGGGGGTGTTTTATTTGCTTTTGTATGCATATTGGTCTTTTGGTTGACTTTTCCTTTTACTAAATCATTTTTTCAGTTGTTAGGAGTCTTAGTGATCTACTTCAGAAAACTCAAGTTTTGCAGCAATTCTGTGTCCCAAGAAGCTTGAGAAATCTTTCTCTTTTCTCTCTCTCTCCCTTTTTTTCTCTTTCTCTCCCCCCCCCTCTTCTCTCTCTCTATCTTCTGGAGGTGGGGCAAGTGAACAACAGGCACTTTTCACCCATCTGTGTGCCCCATTTTTCACCTACCCCGCCTCCAGCAGCATTCTGCATGCCAAAAACGGGTGAAAATGGCTCGTTTTTTTAGCCAAAAACAAGCCACTTTTGCCAGTTTTTTGGCCTCTTGGAATGCCTGTATGCCCCCATTTTTCATCTCCTCTGGCTCCAGCAGCATTCTGCAGGCCAAAATCGTTGGCCTTACCTTTTAGCTCCAGCCCACAGGGCTTCCGAAGAGAAGTCCTGCGCTCTGCCGAAGAGTGGGGCAGGGTGATGTGGGCGAAGCAGCCTCGTCATCCTGCGCAGGTTGGATTAATGGCTTTGGTGGGCCGCATGTGGCCCACAAGCCATAGTTTGAAGACCCATGGACTAGACCAATAAGTGAACAAACTATCCAAAGAACATTTAAAGGAAGTATTTTGTTCAATAGCAATAGCATTGTTCAAGCATTGTCAAAATGTTGAATAATTGCAACTTGTCATTTCCTAAATTATTTCTCCTTGCTTCTGTTCACATTTTCTTTATTTCACATATTCATGAATCTATCTTGCAGTTTTAAAATAACAAACCAAAGGAAAAAAAGAAAAGGGATAATAATGTTATTCTCATAAAGGCAAAGTTTTAGCCCTTCCGTAGTGGTATTTACTGCAGCTGCTAATTTGAAATCCTATTGTAAAAAAGGATCAATTTTCCCACTATAGTTTTTTTTTTAAAAAAGGTTACATTTGCTAATTAATATTTTGATGCTGACATTCACAGTGCAGATTTGTTTTAACTTAATGATTTTTTTAATTTTTAGATATTTTGGATGGTTGTATAATTGATTGATTTAGATGCTTCAAGTACATTCAAAAGCAGAGATAGAGTAACTCACTATAAATTACTGAAATACTCATTAAAACAAAAAAGATAATACTTTTTTCATGTGCAGTTGGAAGGAAATGTTATATTATACATATTATATATTCAAATTTTGACAGTAGTTGTATGATGCTTTGGCAGTTAGGATTAGCAACACTTGGCATGAAAACTATGCAGCTAGGAAAGACACAAACCATATTTATTAGGAAAAAAAGTGTTTATATTTTTATATATAAGTGAAAATAAATGAAACTTCATTGAACAGTGCAAGTGTCTTTCTTTCCCATTTCTATATACAGATAATAAAGTTCCGAAACTGGAACAACGTGCAATGTGAAACACATTATTTGAATATAACATATGTACAAATTCTCATAGAGAAGTCATCTCAATATTCTATATATAATGTGGAGGTTACATATTACAGAAAACACATTATGCCTCCTTTAAATAATTAAAAGCAGGAGGGCTACTGCTAGTATTTTTTAAAGTCATGATTTGGTCTAGATTAAGACATTTACAGTAGAAACAAATCTATTTTAAAGTTGAGAGGTACATCACTTCCCATGGCACAAATATCTCTCTTTTGTCCTAGTGCCATTTTCTAATAAGAAAATATGCAGTATTTTGAAACAACAGGGATTTATAGTATCCATTTAAAGAAAGAAGTGGGAGGAATGTTCACACTATTAGGAACAGACTTTTTTTTAGAAAAAAAAACACCTTAATCCAATTCTCTGAAGTTAGCATGCTTAAACATAATCAATGGACAAACCCAGTTCACTTAAAAAAGATTTCAACTAATTTCCAATGAAGATACTCTGGAGACCATTTGGCCTATAAAAGCATATGACTCCCAATTTGGAAGATCATATCTAAGAGAACACTTATTTTCATAAATGATTTTTTTTTCTGATTTAAAGAAAGCCGTGGCCCGACAAATGCTCGCCCAACAACAGTGCGCCGATGAAACCATGGCGATAAAACCGCAATGTCGACAGGGCGCCCACAAAGGCGTGCTGACAAAAGCGCCGACAGAAGCGTGATTACGGTTAAGGTAAGGGTTAGGTTTAGAGCGCGCTTCTGTCAGTGCGCTGTTGTCAGCGCGCTTCTTCGCTCATTCGTTGCCGCGATTTCAAACTCTTGGTTTTCTCACCACGGTTTCATCGGTGCGCTTTTGTCGAGCGCGCATTTGTCGGTGAACCAAAGAAAGCTAGTACACAAGACAGCCTGCCATTTATTTCCTACGGTAGTAATATAAGGACACACTCATCTGCAAAGTAACCTATTTCAGGATATATTGGCTATGAATATACCTATGCAAGAATTCATACTTTCTGCTGTCCCTCAAAGTCTCTTTTGCTTCGGAGGAACTGCCTCCATTTTCTATTGGAAGCCTTATGCTAATGAACAATCTTCTGTTCTTCTGTGCATGTTAGTAGACTATTGACTTCACTTATGCCATTTAGAACAGCAGAGGGAAGGCTGATGGTGTTTACTGCTTTCCATGCATGGATGGCCTCCAGGATTTTGGATGGATTGCTAGGTCCCAAATCAAAGAGTGCATATGCGGCTGCTAACTGGACACCCCAGGCCACATCTGGAAAAGATGGAAATGTAACAATCAATAGTATCCTTGACCAAAGGGAATTTTAAATCACTGCGGCAACATGCAACTATTAGAATAATATTGGTCCTACTACCAGGAGCTCAAAATAGGGCTATCCTATGACTTGTAGGACATGCAAGCCTCATGTGGAATGAGGTGATTCAGGAAAACCTTTTACTGGTTCACTGAAAACGGACACCTTGTAATTTGCAAGATCTTCAAGCCCAACTTCCCTTCCGAGAGCAGAGTCTCTAATATGCATGCTGGGAATTTAATGTGCTGGAAAGAATAGGGCGTTGCACCTTGTTCCAAAAACAGAACTTGGTACATTCTGTGGATATACCCATAGCATGGGGGGTGTATATACACATACAGACAAACATACAAAATGCCTGGAGTGAAATGAAATCTGGTATGAAAACTTTCGGATGACGCTTCATTAGGGAAGGAGTGGATATAAAGGACATTATGCTACGCCTTCTGTAAGGCTTTGATGACCAGACTCTTCTCCCAAGTCCTGGGAGAAGAGGCCATATGATTTTGGTGACAGGTTTCTGTTATTTTCATGGTTTTAAAAGTATTTAGTTTTATTATGGTTTTTATGTTGTATATACTTTCAGTTGGGAACCAGTCACATTTGGTTGTAAGATGGATGATTATATAAATGTTTTAAATAAGTAAATAAAATTGACTCCAAGAAAGCCAGTAAGGATCCCAACTGGATCAGAATACATAAAAGTAACTGTAAACTGTAACTTATATCTTGTACTTCTAGTAAGAAACTCCATTTGCAAAAACTGAAGTTAAATAAACAATAAATAAGTTGTTGGAGGTTTTGTTCTTTGGATCTTACTGGGAACAGAGGTGGGTGGAATGCCCTTAAGCCCACTCCAGGTTAGAAAATATGAATTTTCCCAGATTTTAATAAGGTAAATCACATGCAGACTTCAATGTAAATATATATTTTATTTTTAATGTGCTTGATTCTTTGCCTAGCTTTTTACAGTTAAAGCTCAGTCCCCATTTTTTGGAGAACCGAACCCATTGTCCCTTTCCTCTAAGCCTTCTTCTCTAAGCCCAACATCCAATTGTGTTTCCTTTGTTGCTGTATGTTTCCTAATTAAATACATACCAGTTTCAGCAGATATATTTGTATCCTGGGATAAGATGACTCAATATGCTTAAACTATCAGTTATTGATTTTAAACCAACTCTGTGCTTAGATTATTTTTGGTTTTCTTTTTTGGGTCCCTGCTTAGTGCCAGAGAGAAACATGGCAGCCTGAGCTGTCTTGTCTGGTTGGAGCAAACTTGTGGGGTTGAGTAACACTCCCCAAGTAGTCCTCTGGGAATAACCAGCGGTTTCACTGTCCTCATTTGCATTTTTACTTTATCCTCTGCCAATTCATTTATCCAGCTTTCCATTTTTCTCCTCTCTACAACATAGTTCAATTTCTTATTTTGATTAAAGATTTTTTTTTATTTCCCCACCTCCGTGACCCGACAAATGCGCGCACGTGAAAAGCGCGCCGACGAAACCACGGGAACAAAAACCGCAACATCATACATGTGCCCACAACAACGCGCCGACAAAATCGCGCCCACAAAAGCACGATTTCAGTTAAGGTAAGGGTTAGGTTCAGGGTTCTGTTTAGGGTTAGGTTTAGTGTTAGGTTTAGGGTTATTCGGTTGTTATTACTTATTCATTGAAGGTGCGCTTTTGTCGGTGCGCTTCTACGCTCATTCGTCAGCGCGATTTCGAACTTATGGTTTTTGTCGCCACGGTTTCGTCGGCGTGCTTTTGTCGAGCGTGCATTTGTCGGTGAAACCCCCACCCCCAATGCCTCCCACTGTATTAACTTCTATTTTATTTTCTCTGCTGGCCTTTTTCTTGTCTTTTCCCATTTTGAACAGTGCCCTCCCTTCCACCAAATTCTATGTCACTCTTTTTATAGCGAACATTTTATATCTATGCATATTACAGGTAACAGTGGCATAGTTTTCTGAGCAAGACTACTGAACAGGAAATAAACAGACACAAACCACCTACCACCCTTGCTGCTTGCATCAGAGGGGAGATAAGAATCTATGTGATTCTTGTGTAGCCCTACTGTTATATCCCAATCCAACTCATTTCCCAACTCTCCTTACTTAAAGGAAAAAAGACTTACCGGGACGGCTGACAAGACAATTCATTTTGCTAACTACCATGCAATACATAGGATTGTTACCTTTTTCCTTTGCGTGCTGTAGAAAGGCTCCAATAACAGAACTGATATTTTCCACAGCAGGGAAAAATCCTTCTCTCAGACCTATTTGTCCTAAACGACCTACAAAATGTCAAAAGAAAAGAAGTAACTGAGATTTATTTCTCAATTATCTGCTCAACCTGCCTCATAGCTGTACTGCTGTAGGTTGCAGTTGGGGGCTCATGTAACTGAATGGTTCCACATGGTACCGTAGATGAGATGCTGAAATGGTATTCTGTTAAAAAAAAGTTCCATTTCCAAGTTTTTTTTTCCTTGATAGTTTACAGCTCATAAAGTGTTAATGTGGCCATGAGTCTACCAAGGAAAATTGGAGGGAAACAGTTTAATAGTGTGCCACTTATACCATATAACACAAAAGACCCATTAGGGGCCTTTTTCTTTCTTTCTTTCTTTCTTTCTTTCTTTCTTTCTTTCTTTCTTTCTTTCTTTCTTTCT